GCACGTGGCTGCCATCTGGAAGGTCAGCTGCTCATGGCCGCATATCGTTATCGGAATGCCCAAGTCCTTGGACAGCTCCAACATCTTACCCAGTATCAAGGGCTCTAACAAGTCGGGCTCCGTCTCTGGATACGCGGCCATGGCCAGCTCAAGCACAGCGCCCCAGGAAAGCCACAGGCGATTCCTCGGGTGCCCGTTGCCTCTGGACGAATCTGCGGTGTGCGTCGTCCGGAGGCTCGTACGCTTCCGCCATCTCTTCAAAGCCCCTTTCAGCGTCGCTTTCTTCGCGGCCTTGATGGAGCGGAAAAATTTCAAAGGCTTGTCGTCCAGGAGCGTCGGCATAATTTCCAAGGCCTCTGCATTCGTCCACTTGGCGGATCGGACGGCCGACTCAAAACGCCAGGCAAATGCGCTCCAATCTCCTCCAATTGAGAATTCTTTAATCGTCGTCAGGCGATGGCTGCGAGTCCCCGAGCTGCTGTCTTCCGATGCAGGCATCTCCTGCGGCGGCGACAAGATGGCGTCTTCCCGCCGTGGCAGCGACAAGATGGCGGCTTCCCGCCGTTCGTCCGCGACCACACCCAAGATGGCGGCGTCCTGCCGCGTGTCGAAGAGGGCGGGAAGCGTCGCAGAAGCCCCAATGGTGGACGGCTGGGCCTCAGAAGGCTCCCCGCTTGAAGGCCCGCCGCATGGCCGATCCAGCATCGTCGCTGGTGCGACCAAGGTGACTAAATCCAGCAGAACGGCCAGCAGCGAATCAAGCTGGGCTGCCACGTTTGGCCAGCCATACTCGGCGCCCATCGACGCTGACGGCCCGGCCGCCCCGACAACATCTTGTACTCCCGTCACGTAGCTCGCCGCCACTTCTCCCACGCCTTCCACGGTCAGGACCCCCCACCCCCGAAGGAAGGTCCTCTTCGTCTTCTGAAGATGGTGCAGGTATATTATTTTTCTTGAGATGTTTCGACATCTCGTTCCACTTCTGACCCCAGTGTAATAAAAGACTCCGTCAGGCACTGCTGGTCTCCGCTTGTCCTTTATTTAGGTTCTTCTCCGCACCCCCACTGGCCTCCTCTCGGACCAGTGTCATCTCGCGCACGCCCCGTGCACACTCCCTCTCATGTGCCACGCATGCTCTCTCTCTCTCGCGTGCTCCGCATGCTCCCCCGTTAGCTCCTCTATTCCCGCACTCCGCACACCGCTGGCCGACGGCGTGCTGAGGTCCTTCGGCTACGTGGCCAATGGCGCGGAATTTTCCTCACCACCCAACGTGGCTTAGCCTCTTAACTTCCCCGACTCCCCCGATCTCTTCCGGTCTCCCACTTATATACATTCCTCCCACGTGACACTGACTCCTCCCCTTCCGGATCCTCAGATCCGGCCTTCCCATACTACCCCGCTGGCTCCGCCCCCATTCACCTCGCCTCCCATTGGGAGCCAAGGTGAACGATGGCCCCTCCCACATGCCCCGCAGACCAGGCTCTGCCCCCCAATACCCCGGGCCGTGTAATAGGACCCGAGCCCAGCAACAACCCATTTACGCTCGCATTACACATTGCTGGGGTCACAAAAAGGATCTCCAAAATCCTGATAAAATACAAGATCCAGGTCCGATTCAAAACAGTACATAAAATCCGTGATCTGGTCCCAGTTTGTAAAAGATGTGGTTCCAGACATACAGTACCCTGGCGTCTACAAACTAAGTTGCCGTTGTGGTAGCAGTTACATTGGAGAAACCAAACGACATGTCTCGGACCGTATCTGTGAACATAAAGCAGACTTGAAACACGGTAGGACAAACACCTCAGCCGTGGCAGATCACTGTTACAATTCAGTGGGCTCACATGATATTGACTTCTCCAAGACAGAGGTTATCTGCAAGCCATCTGGCTACCATGAGAGATTCGTTCATGAGGCGATCCACATATACAAACACAGAGACAATTTCAACTGATAAGATGGATTTTGGCTCAGCAATTATTGGAAGGACTTAATAAACCATTTCGGATCTCAACTGATTGTGTTCACGTTTACGGTGACTTTCAGACCGCAGTCCACTCACTGGCATTGACTATATATCTTGTATTCTCCGCAGGGAATGAATTCTTTGCTCCGCTGCAAGTCTCCTACCACCACTCTCCCATTGACATATTTCGTTGCTTCCTCTTAGTATCTTTCACGCGACGGTCAATGGTATAGTGTATAGCGGATTGTATAATAATAAATAGTATAAAATTGATAATTGGTTCTTTACCCTTCTATCTGGCAACAAAACTGACAACTTTTTACAAGGAGTCATGTTTGCATAGACCGCAATACCTGCAGTCATAAATACAAACAAAAGACATAACTCTGATAATGTGCACTGTCCTTGAAGTTGATTGGTCCACACCCGAGACAGCTTTCCTTCGAGCCTAGTCTCACATGGGTTGGACCAGAAGACGCCAAAAGGCGCACAACTCAAAGACAATGCACCATCAGAGTATGAGAGCTCGGGGCAAACATCTAAACTATGGGGACCTCATTTGCCAGTAAAAATATGATAATTGGTTCTTTACCCTTCTATCTGGCAACAAAACTGACACCTTTTTACAAGGAGTCATGTTTGCATAGACCGCAATACCTGCAGTCATAAATACAAACAAAAGACATAACTCTGATAATGTGCACTGTCCTTGAAGTTGATTGGTCCACACCCGAGACAGCTTTCCTTCGAGCCTAGTCTCACATGGGTTGGACCAGAAGACGCCAAAAGGCGCACAACTCAAAGACAATGCACCATCAGAGTATGAGAGCTCGGGGCAAACATCTACACTATGGGGACCTCAATTGCCAGTAAAAATATGATAATTGGTTCTTTACCCTTCTATCTGGCAACAAAACTGACACCTTTTTACAAGGAGTCATGTTTGCATAGACCGCAATACCTGCAGTCATAAATACAAACAAAAGACATAACTCTGATAATGTGCACTGTCCTTGAAGTTGATTGGTCCACACCCGAGACAGCTTTCCTTCTTTTGTTTGTATTTATGACTGCAGGTATTGCGGTCTATGCAAACATGACTCCTTGTAAAAAGGTGTCAGTTTTGTTGCCAGATAGAAGGGTAAAGAACCAATTATCATATTTTTACTGGCAAATGAGGTCCCCATAGTGTAGATGTTTGCCCCGAGCTCTCATACTCTGATGGTGCATTGTCTTTGAGTTGTGCGCCTTTTGGCGTCTTCTGGTCCAACCCATGTGAGACTAGGCTCGAAGGAAAGCTGTCTCGGGTGTGGACCAATCAACTTCAAGGACAGTGCACATTATCAGAGTTATGTATTTTGTTTGTATTTATGACTGCAGGTATTGCGGTCTATGCAAACATGACTCCTTGTAAAAAGGTGTCAGTTTTGTTGCCAGATAGAAGGGTAAAGAACCAATTATCATATTTTTACTGGCAAATGAGGTCCCCATAGTGTAGTATAAAATTGTAATGTTTAATACAATGTACAACGTAATATATAGTATCGTAATTGTATAGGTGAATATACAGCAGTGTGATATACAGTAGGGTGGGTAGAATAATACATAGTGTAATATTACACTGTATAAGGTGGTGTATAGTAATACAGTATGTAATTTAATGTTGGGTTTGTCTATGGCAGTATATCGTACGGTGTAGACCCGTGTGATGTAAGAGAATAAAGTTTAGCTGGAAGCATATTATATTTTTGCGACACAGAATTGTAATGTATTACTTACTGTTAGTAGCTCAGCTTATTGGAGAGTATATTTAATATACTGATGATACTATGTAATTTATATTTTAGTTGTTTACGTGGTGGTTTAGTGACTGCAGCTACATACTAACATTCCTTCCATTTATTAATATTTTGGCGTTATCTGGTCCATCCCATGTGAGACTAGGCTCTAAGGAAAGCTGTCTCGGGTGTGGACCAATCAACTTCAAGGACAGTGCACATTATCAGAATTATGTCTTTTGTTTGTATTATGACTGCAGGTATTGCGGTCTATGCAAACATGACTCCTTGTAAAAAGGTGTCAGTTTTGTTGCCAGATAGAAGGGTAAAAAAACAATTATCAACCAAGAAGAGGTTACGATAGTTAGATTTCTCCACAGAAAAGTCCGAATGAACCAGATTGCTGCACTATGTGTCTTCGGTCTCTCTGTGTCCATATCGCGACGTGTTTCTCGGGGAATACTCAAGTGTACAGTCAGCTGTTAAACGTACGCCAAAGGCACACAAAGCAGAGCCAGTGACATTGTCCAAATGCTTCTCTCTACCCAACTGCGGTTGCTGAGATTTATTTGCAAAATAAAGGGGATAAGTTGAGTGAGAATTCAGCCTGAAAAGTTAAAGGATATCAACGTTTAGCTGGCATAATGTATAATATGAGGGGTTTGGGGGGGGGGGTAAATGGCGAAAATATAAATATGCCGTTAAACCCACCCACCACCGTGACAAACGTTACTATCCGGCTGCATCGGGTGGTGGCGGGTTTAACGACACATTCATATTCACGTGATCTAACCCTAAGAAACGTCTATTATTAATAATAGTGGTCGCGAAAGTCTACGTGTTAAACTGGTATAATACAATTCAGACAGAGGCTGAGCTTCACAATAAATACTGTGTTTGTAATTTACAACCCTTTGTCAATACACAACATCATGTTGGTCTTGAAGGTTCTTGGGTGTACTTCACCACGCTAATCAGCGCAGGTTTGTCAAGCAAAGAACTGGTTTAGTTAACACTGACGTTAATCGCCGTAGCCAGGAGTCGAAGTGAAATATCACCGTTGTGCCACCTCTCAAAATCACCGCACACATGGAAGCAAAGACTGCTTTTGTAAAAAATAAAACCAAAGCAATTTATTGAGAAAGTGCATAGCGCAAATCAACGATAAAATAATGGACTTGTCTTCAGTGCTTAATTTACGGCTCTCCCCACACCCAGATTGCAATGTACATTATATAATGGCACAGCACATATAATTAATTTGCATTTTTTATTAACTATAAAAATCGACGTAAAAACATTGATTCACACAAATAGCTTAATTTAAGAAGGAAATCACTCCGGGATCATCGCACGGTGCATAGTTTTCAATGTACACGCCATGTAACAAAATCGACGGATGTTGTTTTCGGAACGCGTGCACGGCTGCCTTGCTGTCGGCGATTTGCCGGCCAAGATCATTTACTGAGAAGGTGGCCCTGGAATGTGAATCAATCGGTATGGTTTTTAATTGCAATTTCTTTAATTTGCTTCTCATATCCGGATACAGGTGATTTGGCAAGCCGTTCCTGAAATATCACTTCCCCCCCTCAAAAAAAGTATGAAACACGTATATGGAAAGATTATGCATGTGTTTAAAATGTGTCCACAATATTTAAAAACCACAGCAAATGATAAATATACCAGTTTTTTTTGTTTAAAGATAGAATAATTAATTTGAGGATACTGAATCTCTTCATGTAGATGTATCGCAATGTTGTTATAACACGTTCAGAGCTGGATTGGCGACTTGTAAATGCGATGATGTTATTCGGCGTTACTTCCCCCCCCCCCCACACACACAAATGTTAACTCCGTGTGATCAATAAAAAAACTAAAACATGGATGCATCAAAGTTTTAGCTTTTGACATCGCATACAAGCCAGACACAAAGCCGAGGGCCCATGTACAACGTCGCAGTTGCCATTTACCTGTACATTGGATTTAATTGCCAAGTTATTTTGCTTTTTTTTGCGAGTTGTTTGTAGACATCAAAAAAAGTGCGCTTGGTAAAGACCAGCGCTTCGGTTTTGTACATTTGGGGATGTTTTCAGGCCATACGTTTGTTAGATGTAAGAAACGCGCCTCTAAAGTTTGATTTCTGCAACCTATTAAAACTTAAATCACAACTTGGTGTGGAATTTTTTTTACGTCCAGTTTGCCTGGGTGCAAAAAGTATTCAACGATGATGGGTCTTTGTGCCCTGTGTAACCATGTGTTGCTGCTGCTGGCGGTGGTGGTTTCGGATGGAATGTTACGGGGTGGATGTTATGAGTCAGCAGGTGAATATTATTAGGCATGGGGTGGATGTTACGGGGCATGGGGTGGATGTTACGGGGCATGGAGTGGATGTTATGGGGCATGGGGTGGGTTGTTACGGGGCATGGGGTGGTTGTTGGCACCAACTGCAGGGCTGGATGCGTCCCCTTGCTACCACGACGCCACCAGGACGAGCGCTGCTGGGAGGAGCACCGCAAAGAGTCCGCCCGTTGCCATCGCCGGTGCCTTGGCGGTGGTTTGCCGAGCCGTGGTGATTGAGGTGGAGGCCGTTGAGTTGGTCGAGGTGGTGTTGGAGGCGGCAGGTGTGGTGGTGGTGGTGATTGTGCTGGGGGAGGTTGTGGTGGAGGAGGATGTGGTGGAGGAGGAGGTTGTGGTGGTGAAGGCTGTGTTGGCGGTGGTGGTTGAGAGTACAGCAGTCGTAGAATCACTCACCGTTGACTGCTGTAATATAAAAAAATACACGCCGTTATTAACATTGTTTAAATTGGGACATTTTTTTGTGGTGATTACAGTTTCATTGGTGAAGATAAAATGTAAAAAAAAGCTGGTGTTGCATGACAAGTTGTTAGGTATATAGGGGTTCCTAAATACATATTCTGTGATAGAGCCTACATTTAACCACGCGACGGCCTACTGGTATGCATAATCTCTTGGAAAAAAAAGTACTTGGTTAACTGGATTTGTTGAGTTTTTATGTATTTATGCAATATAGCAGTAAAAAAAAATTCTATATTTTTTCATACTGAAAAGGCTTGACTTGTGGATGCTGATAAGGTTAAGTGCCAAAAACATGATACCATAATTTTCCATATAAAGAGGGTTTTTTACGTAAAAGTGAGATCTTTTCAAAATTGATATACTTCATTGCACGTACATATGTCTATATCGGAGTGAAGCGATCGTGGGCAGTGGTTACCACACTGCAATGAAACACATCAATTACGGTTTGATTCCCGCTACGCATAATATCAGCGGTGAGTAATATCTTAACCGGTCCTGTGCCTACCATCTTTGAACCAATCTACAATGACCAGCATGGTGAAGTAAAGCCAAAGAAAGCCCTGTGACCAACACTCTGTGGATAATTCTTCCATCCAGCAATGCGATTGACAAAGGCTTGTAAATTATGAATCATTATTATATATGTGTATATTGTTGCTATAAAACCCTTGTGTTGTGGGACTTGGCAATGAGATGATGTATCCGAAAATCGCGATTCATAAGTAGATTTTTTTTGGGGGGGGGGGGGGTGGATCGTTGGGTATCATGTCAATTATGCACCCTCCATCACCCAGCAAAAGCCAAACAAATCGAGTTTTGTTGTGTGAACAAACGCGCCAATCAGCTCTCTGATTTTCAGAAAACCGCTCACATTGAAAATAAGCAAGCAAAATTTGACAATTTACTTACGACGTTTCATCGGTGACTGCACAACCGTACCTGAATATGCCGGTTGCAATCTCCGGTGAAACGTCGTGCATAATTGTCCCATTTTTGCTTGCTTTATTTCGACCCCAAATTACCGATTTGGTGATCAACAAAATGAATTGCCTCATTTGTCCAGGAGACAACTCTATTGGGTTTGGCTGTGTCGGGGGTGTGGGAGGGTGCATAGCTCGAACTTGACCTCATGCTCACACTATCCGATGCACAAAAACGAATAATGAATCACAATATTGGTCGTGAAAGCCTCGACGTTTGAATCCATCCACAGATATCCTTCAACAGATTTACACAATTGATTTGCAATCTCCGGCAGAGCGCATACATTATGCTGTTCACGTGATGTGAGACAATTCGCGTTAAACTCACAACACGCACACATGTCCTGTAATATTACCCCTAATGAATTGAAACAACTGCATCATTAGCATCACCACACGTTATCGATTTATACATATGTATAAAACGCTTTTACATTATAGCCACAGCTCATTCATTCTCCATCGTAACATCTAAGATTTTTCCAAAACATGCATTGCATGGAATTGCCGAGAGATGTAAACATGAGCGTTGGTGGTGCGATATAGCCTGAAGCGAGTGCCCCCCCCAAAAAAGATGTGGGAGTCTGTACGTACCGCCAGTACATTCGCTGAGAGGCAAAGAGCCGCCAGGATCAGCAGAAGGAATCCCGCACCCATGTCTGCTTTGAGCTTGTAGATGATCGACTCGGTGACACAGACCGTTGTTCTTGTTCCAAGCTGGCTTCTTCGGGTTGCAGCTGCTGCGGCTGGAGAAGATTGTTCTGTAGTTGGTTACAAGAAGCGTGGGGCCTTTTATAGCCAAGAGAGCATGGTTAATTCGACACCTTGGACGCTGCCTCCACCCCCGCTAACCCCCACCGCCCCACCCCCTTTATCATGAAACGGCAGTTGACCTGGCAGGGTAGCTTTGTTAAAAATACTCGTAACCCCCATTCTGACGAATCACGAAGATGCCAATCATTCACTTTTTTACATCCCCGTCACGCACACGCTTTGAATATCTAAATACCCTGTTGCGGAAATGTGGTCGGCTTATTCGAAGGTCTTTGTGCTCGTCGAACGTGACTGCCCATTATGTGAGGTTGATGCAGTTGGAGCGGTGGAGCAGTGGTTATGAATCCGGCAAAAAACTACATTTGAATGAGGGCCAAGGCTGTCGTCAGTGGTAAGTGATATCTGATCTGTTTCCCCACACCCATTTCTTAATGTAGTCAGGATTTATTTTATTTTTCGTCACAGGCTTAGTCTAGTCAACGACTACCTATGGAGTTTGACTCAAGTGTGAGGATTTCATTTATCCATTATATAGTCAACTAAGGCCGTTGATAAATGTTGGTTTGGTCAGTCTTAGTATTTGGCCACGAATTATATCGGCTTAGTCGAAAAATTTGGTGTAGTGTTTCCATTACAGTTAATTTATTACTCTTTTTATAAGCTACAACTTAATTGCCTCGTGTGATGAGCAAACACAAACTACTCTGCAACCTCAGATTAGCACGGTTGACTACGTACGGTGCCCAAGAAGTTCAACATACACACACACAGACATCCTCCACCCGCCACATCCTCGACCATCCCTCCCCCCCATCACTTTCCCCTCTTATCTCTCAATGGACTCCCTTCGGGGGCCGACGGAGCCGGGGGTGGGGGGCGACGGAGCCGGGGGGGGGGGGGTTCGTGATGGGAAAAAAAGATGGCCGCCTGAGGCGCGCGCTCCAAGCGGCTGGCGGGGCCGCTTGTGTTGGGCAAGAGGCGCGTGCAGAGGGTGCCGACACTGAACTCACTCACATATCATACACTGACTCACTCATCATACGCTGACTCACACATCATACAATGCCTCACACTACCACTGACTTACACATCATACACTGACTCACTCATCATACGCTGACTCACACATCATACACTGACTCACACATCATACACTCACTCACACTACCACTGACTCACACATCATACACTGACTTTCTCACACATCATACACTGACTCACACATCTTACACTCACTCACACTACCACTGACTCACTCACACATCATACACTGACTTATTCATCATACACTCACATCATATGCTGACTCACTCACACATCATACACTGACTCACTCATCATACGCTGACTCACACATCATACAATGCCTCACACTACCACTGACTTACACATCATACACTGACTCACTCATCATACGCTGACTCACACATCATACACTGACTCACACATCATACACTCACTCACACTACCACTGACTCACACATCATACACTGACTTTCTCACACATCATACACTGACTCACACATCTTACACTCACTCACACTACCACTGACTCACTCACACATCATACACTGACTTATTCATCATACACTCACATCATATGCTGACTCACTCACACATCATACACTGACTCACTCATCATACGCTGACTCACACATCATACAATGCCTCACACTACCACTGACTTACACATCATACACTGACTCACTCATCATACGCTGACTCACACATCATACACTGACTCACACATCATACACTCACTCACACTACCACTGACTCACACATCATACACTGACTTTCTCACACATCATACACTGACTCACACATCTTACACTCACTCACACTACCACTGACTCACTCACACATCATACACTGACTTATTCATCATACACTCACATCATATGCTGACTCACTCACACATCATACACTGACTCACTCATCATACGCTGACTCACACATCATACAATGCCTCACACTACCACTGACTTACACATCATACACTGACTCACTCATCATACGCTGACTCACACATCATACACTGACTCACACATCATACACTCACTCACACTACCACTGACTCACACATCATACACTGACTTTCTCACACATCATACACTGACTCACACATCTTACACTCACTCACACTACCACTGACTCACTCACACATCATACACTGACTTATTCATCATACACTCACTCACATCATATACTGACTCACTCACACATCATACACTGACTCACTCATCATACAATCACTCACACATCATACGCTGACTCGCACATCATACACTCACTCACACTACCACTGACTCACTCACACATCATACACTGGTAGTGTCATGCTGCCAGCTATGGCTACAAGTTTGGTCCATGCTATGTATATTGTTTATTGATCAATTTTGAATCACAGTTCCTATGATTACTCTTGTTACATTGTTTTTATAGCTTTTTTGTGATTCGAAAACATGTGGTTAATCTAAATTGTCTTATGGTTGTTATTGTTGACTTTCACCACATTGGGATTTTTGCACACAGCGTTTTAATACGTTGTTTTATATTTGCTGGTTTATTCCGGGATGTTTCTGTTATGAGTCATCACTTTAAGATGTTCTGTTCATATTTTGTTTGTTGCGGTTGCACCCGACTTAAGAGCCGCATGGCTCACAGGGCTATACCTAATAAATGAACTTGAAATAAAATGAACTTGACTTTGATAACCCCACAACCAACAAACGCAACAGTTGCTGTTCAACACTAAGTGTCTGTACCGCCATCACGGCGCTTGTGCCAGGCTAGGTCCACCTTTATGCCACGTGAAGAATCAAAGGGGATTGACCAGCTGAGATGACAGGCAGATACAACACATGTGCTTCCCAATGTGCCAACTTGCTGCGTTTTAGACGCCAAATGCTCTGCTCGTTGTTGTGAGAATCTCTCCTCCGCCCTCCGATGTTGCTGGAGGGCGACTGCCTCCAATTGCCCAGTAGCGTCCATCACGATCCTCCGATCGTGACACAGCTGGCACCGGTCATCTCCAAGTCCAATCAGCTTCACATTGTTCCGTACCAAGACAACCAATCTCACCTCCAGCCCGTGCTGCATTAGTTTAACCCCCCCAACCCTCTATTATACCAAGCAGAAGCTGCTTGGGTATGCGGTGGCTTGGCATGCGAGCCACATGACGCATCCAAGGCAGCCTCACCTGCAGGAGGAGCGCACTTCACACACGCACACACGCGCGCGTATGTGACCAGGATATATTTTTGGTGGTAGTATAGCTAGTCGCTAGTTGTATATATGGATAGAGTAGCGGCTGGCCTGTTTCACACCGGAGACATGGGTTTCTTGAAAGCACGAGGACGCCAAAGTTACACGTATTTAATCACGTTCACGAGATGCTCGCACGTCGCACAGGAGAGTCCCTCGGTGTTGAGTCTGAGGATCCTTTGCTCCACGACCCAACTGGATGGCATCGTGTTTGGCCCTACAGAGTTTTTGAATTTTAAACAACTTTAATTGCCGCCAGCAGCAACAGCACTGGAGGCGATTCCGATATGAAATACACAGTCACTAGCAAACAAATTAACAACCGCTATAAATCCACATACTGTGGCGCTAAATGCACCGCGCACAACATGAAAGAAAAGTCACGTGGTGGTTGTCGTCACGCACGCCACGGCGACGAGCGTGGGCGTCAGAAGATGAACACGAGGGTGCAGTCCACGCTGGTACAGAGAGGGGCTTTTCCGGCTCCCCACCGTTCGAAGAAGACGTGCACATCACCGACGTGTGTTATGCGTGCTCCAGCCGGAGCCGCGCCTTAAGCAGGCCCCTGAACACTGGAAGCACAGAGCAGCCGTCAGTGTCACCTTCCAGCATCTTTTTCCTCGTTCTGTGCACCGCTATCTTCGCCTGAGCACAGGTGAAATTGGCGAGGTCATGGCGCTTGTTAGCCAGGTAAGGCACCCCATATACGAAGCTGCTGTTGTAGAAGGGCACCCCCAGTTTCCTGAAGATGTCCCCCAAAAGGCGAAACATTAGTTTGAGCAGCTGGCAGCGTAAGTACTGGTGGGGCAGATCCTCCCTGGCACCGCAAGAAATGCACACGTCTGTTAACCCTAGCGAGATTTGGCTGAGCCACACAACCGATGGCAACGTGTAGTGTGCCAATCTCCATTGAAGGTCACCACAGCGTTTGGCTACGGGAGACTTGTACTGAGGGGGGGGGGAGAGAAATGGTCTCTCCATTTTGTGTCCGGTCGGTCGGCCAGGTCCGGGGAATGCAGCGCCTTGACACAGCACGTGTAGAGTGCTGTGTTCGGGGGGGGGGGGTTCAGGGGCACGTTCCTGCAGCCTCAGAGCTTCAGTAGCTTGCCGGATTCGCTGTGGCCAGGGGGCTGCGCGCAGGAGAAGCATAACTTCGGGAAGGAAGAGGGGAGGGGAGGGCCGCCACCATCCCCCGGTGCCTCCAGCTTCAGGCACATCTCCTTAATGGTGCGAAGCACATCCCACAGCAGCTTTTCCCCAGCGAGCATGTAGCGGAGTCCCGCTGTGCTGGCGATCTCAGCTGCGGTCTTCCACTTGGGCTGGTGGGCCTGCATGAGGTAGAAGACTGTCTGCAGCCCTGCTGATGTGAGGCATAGGGCCAGGGTCCTCTATCCTTTGATCCCCTGGAAGAGGCTGTTGTAGAACAAGGGCTCGTTCAGGAACTGCGCGAGGTCGTAGGGCACGCGCGTTCTGCTCCACTCAAAGCTCCGCCACGCATCCAAGAGGCTCCGGTGATAACCTGGCAGCCTCGTGTAGTCGAGCAGGCTCAGGTCCATCAGGAAGGGCTTTTTTCCGTACCCCAGGCACCCCCCTGCATTCCTCAGCAGGACGAGGGCCGGCGACTTCCAGGGTAGCTCCTTCCGGTCGTACAGCTGCCGCCTGACTGCCATGAGCCTGAATTTCATGACCCTGGCGGCGACGTCCACCAGACCCTGGCCACCCTCGCCCACCGGCAGGCAGAGAACGCCCTGCCTGAGCCAGTGTTTTCCATACCAGACAAAGTGTGCGTGTGAGCGGTTGACTCTGGTGAGTAGCCAAGCAGAAGGCTGGAGGGCCTTGGTATTGTGCCACAGCACGGATTCTGCCAGGGTGTTAGCAACGAGCACTCGGCCCCTGAATGACATCTGCAGAGCATGGCATGCCTATGTCAGTAATTGAGCCTCGATTGTGTCGGCCAGCTCGGTCCAGTTGTTTAGAGCGACATATGGTTTCCCAGGTAAACCCACAGGTACTTGACTCCGTCGTCCCGCCAACTGACTCCTCCTGGGAGGAGCACAGAGCGAACACCACCTCGCGACCCCAAACACAGGGCCTCCTACTTGGCCCAGTTCACCCTAGCGAAGGAGGCCCTCTCGTACACTGCACCCGCCTGGCAGAGCGTGGAGACATCATGCGCGTCATTGAGCACGATTCATTTATAGTCTGCATAAGCCGAGAGCTTGACGACCGCGTTCTCAGGTCGCAGGACTTTGAGGCCAGACAGATTTCGTCTCAGGTGGCGAAGCAGTGGCTCATTGGACAGGGTGTACAGCAGCCCCGTGAGGGGGCATTCCTGCTTGAACCCCCTCGTCACAAGGAAAGGAGCGCCGAGCCGCTGGTTTATCTTCAAGAGGCTGGATGTGCCCAGGTACAGGAGCCTCACGTGCGAGATGAAGGCCTTGCCGAAGCCGAGCGACATTAGGAGTTTGTCCAAGTACTCGTGGCTCACCCTGTCAAAGGCCTTCTCCATGATCCAAGAAGAGGAGGCCTAAGCCCATGTTGTGCGCTTCTGCAAGGGAGATTACGTATCTGACCGTGCCGATGTTGTCGTATGTGCACCGTCCTGGGATGCAATACGACTGTTCCGGCAGGATCAGCTGACCCAGCACTGTCTTGAGACGGTTTGCCAGCACCTTGGAGAAGATTTTGTAGTCAGCGCACAAGAGGGACACGGGTCACCAATTCTCGACGAGGCGCAGGTCTTCCTTCTTGTGTAGCAAGGAGACCACCGCTTTTCTGCAGCTCTGTGGGAGTTCACCCTTCTGCAGGCTCTGTGTCAACAATTGTAGTAGTGGAGGGCCAAGCTCATCCTAGAAGGCTGCATAAAACTCAACGGGCAGGCCGTCAATCCCTGGGGCTTTACCAGCTGCGAGCCCTCTCACAGCGGTGTGGAGCTCCTGCAGGGTGATGGGGCTGTCCAGACGATCCTAAGGTAGGGCCCCCATCCAGTAGCTCCTGGACAGCCTCGTCGTGTATGGTTTCGGCGGCGAAAAGTTGTGAGTAGAAATGCCTGGCAATCTTGGTGATCTCGCTCTCAGATGTTGCTGTTTGTCCATCTGGGGTTGTGGTGTTGGTCAGTGCTTTGTTTAAGCGGAAGAAAAACGTAGAGGGAGAGTCCTTCTGCGACAAATGCTGCAACTTTTTGCACACAAAAGCACGATGTGCCTGCTTGTCTGTGATGGACCTGAAAAATCGCTGATTCTCCATTAGCGTCTCACCCTGCTGTGTGCCGTGGGATGAGCTCAGTTCTGCCTCTAGTGCCAGCAGCTCGTTCTGCAGTTGGTGCGTCACCTCGTTCTTGGCGGCGGCATGCTGACTCATGAACTGCTGACAGAGAGCCATGACCTGCCCCGTTGTGTTGTCCCATCATAGCTGGTGGGAGCTGAAGCTCCTTTGGCAGGCAGCCACTGAGCCCAAAAGGCTTTGAAGGTTTCTCTGAAGTCGGTGTCATCAAGCAGCTGTACGTTGAGTCTCCAGTAGGCACTGTGCTGCTCTGCTCTGGGAATTCGCAGAAGCACAGAGACCAGGTGGTGATAGGTTTTACAGTCCCCAAACAGGTTAACGCTGCTGGCGTTGACGTACAGTCGGTCGAACCTGGCAAAGCTTATCCTGCCTTGAGCGCCGCAGCGGCACCAAGAGTACTGCCGCTGGGCTGGATGCTGTGGTCGCCACACGTCACGCAGATCCAGTCTCGGACGAGGACAGCTAGCGGCCGTGGGGATTTAGGGTGAGGTTCGGTGGTGTTGCGGTCGAGAGCTGGATCGAGGGTGCATTTGAAATCTCCTCCCTCGACGGTGAGCACCTCATCCACATCGTCTGTTGCGAGTGTGTCCCTCAACGCGCCGAAGAAGAGCTTCCTCTCGGGGGCCTTGCTTGGCACGTACACGTTAAAGCACCTGAGGCTGGATTTATTCAGGACGAATTCGACAGAAATCAAGTGACCTTTGACGATTTCTTTGAAAGAAACATTCTCTGGTGCAAACCGCGAACTGAGCACAATTGCCACGCCGGCGAGATTGTCCTCGGCATGGCTGAAGAAGGCCCGGCCGCCTAGAAAAGACTGGCGTTGGACCTCCAGAGTGGCGTCGAGGTGAGTTTCCTGGGGGAAAGTCACATCTGCTTTGTGTTCCATGACAAAGCGGCAGGTCTGGTCCCGAAAATCTCAAATGTTAGTTTTTTGTAACTTTTTTTCAACTTTGTAAACACAAGGTTACGATAGCGAGATTTCTCCACAGAAAAGTCTGCATGAACCAGATTGCTGCACTGTGTCTTAGGTCTCTCTCTGTCCATATAGCGACGTGTTTCTCGGGGAATACTAAATTGTACAGTCAGCTGTTAAACGTACGCCAAAGGCACTGTGGCGTCTTTGTCTTTCAAAGCACAAGAAGCAGAGCCAGTGACATTGTCCAAATGCTTCTCTCTACCCAACTGCAGTTGCTGAGATTTATTTTGCAAAATAAAGGGGATAAGCTGAGCGAGAATTCAGCTAGAAAAGTAAAAGGATATCAACGTATAGCTGGCATAATGCATAATATAGGGGTTTTGGGGGGGTTTAAATGGCGTAAATACAAGCATGCCGTTAAACCCGCCCACCACCGTGACAAACCTTACTATCTGGCTGCATCGGGTGGTGGCGGGTTTAACGACACATTTATATTCACGTGATCTAACTAAAAAAAGTATATTATTGATAATAGTGGTCACGAAAGTCTACGTGTTAAACTGGTATAATACAATTCTGACAGAGGCTGAGCTTAACAATAAATACTGTGTTTGTAATTTACAGCCCTTTGTCAATACACAACATCATGTTGGTCTTGAAGATTATTGGGTATTCTTCACCACGCTGATTAGTGAAGGTTGGTCAAGCGAAGAACTGGTTCAGATATCACTTGTCACTGACGTTAATCGCCGTAGCCAGGAATCGAAGTGAAATATCACCTTTGTGCCACGTCTCAAAATCACCGCACACATGGAAGAAAAGACTGCTTTTGTAAAAAATAAAACCAAACCAATTTATTGAGAAAGTGCATAGCGCAAATCGACGATAAAATAATGGACTTGCTTTCAGTGCTTAATTTACGGCTATCCCCACACCGGTTGCAATGTACATTATATAATGGCACAGCAAATATCATTTATTTGCATTTTTTTGTAAACTATAAAAATTGGCGTAAAAACATTGATTCACACAAATATCTTAATTTAAGAAGGAAATCACTCCGGGATCATTGAACAGTGCATAGTTTTCACTGTACACGCCATGTAACAAAATCGACGGATGTTGTTTTCGGAACGCGTGCATTGCTGTCGGCGATTTGCCGGCCACGATCGTTCACTGAGAAGGTGGCCCTGGAATGTGAATCACGCGGTATGGTTTTTTATTGCAATTTCTTTAATTCGCCTCTTATATCCGGATACAGGTGATTTAGCAAACCGTTCCTGAAATATCACTCCCCCCCTCCCTCCAAAAAAAGTATGAAACATAAATATGGAAAGATTATGCATTATTTAAAATGTGTCCACCATTTTTAAAAAGCCACAACAAATAATATATATTAGTTTTTTTTGGTATAAAGATAGAATTATTCCTTTGAGGCTACTGAACTGCTTTATGTAGATGTATCGTAATGTTGTATAACACGTTCAGGGCTGGATTGGTGACTTGTACTTGCGATAATGTTATTCGGCGTTCGATTCCCCCCCACACACACAAACGTTAACTCCGCGTGATCAAAACTAAAACATGGATGCATCAAAGTTGTAGCTTTTGACATCGCATACAAGCCAGACACAAAGCCGAGGGTCCATTTACAACGTCGCAGTTGCCATGTACATTGTATTTAACTGCCGAGTTATTTATCTTTTTTTTGCGAGTTGTTTGCAGACATCAAAATGAGTGCGCTTGGTGAAGACCAGCGCTTCGGTTTTGTACATTTGGGGATGCTTTCCGGTCGTACGTTTGTTAGATGTAAGATTGATTTCTGCAACCTATTAAATCTTAAATCACAACTTGGTGTGGAATTTTTTTACGTCCAGTTAGCCGTGCATAAACCGGCTCTACAAGCCTGAGTGAAAAAAATATTCAACGATGATGGGTCTGTGCCTTGTGTAGCCATGTGCTGCTGCTGCTGGCGGTGGTGGTTTCAGAGGGAATGTTATGGGGTGGATGTTAAGAGTCAGGAGCTGGATATTATTGGGCATGGGGTGGATGTTACGCGACATGGGGTGGATGTTACGGGGCATGGGGTGGATGTTACGGGGCATGGGGTGGGTTGTTATGGGGCATGGGGTGGGTTGTTATGGGGCATGGGGTGGATTGTTACGGGGCATGGGGTGGGTTGTTATGGGGCATGGGGTGGGTGTTGGAACCAACTGCAGGGCTGGATGCGTCCCCTTGCTACCACGACGAAACCAGGACGAGTGCTGCTGGGAGGAGCACCGAAAAGAGTCCTCCCGTTGCCATCGCCGGTGCCTTGGCGGTGGTTTGCCGAGCCGTGGTGATTGATGTGGCGGCCGTTGAGTTGGTCGTGGGAGTGACGGTCGAGGTGGTGTTGGAGGCGGCAGGTGTGGTGGTGATTGTGCCGGGGGAGGTTGTGGTGGAGGAGGTTGTGGTGGAGGAAGTTGTGGTGGTGGAGGAGGAGGTTGTGGTGGTGAAGGCTATGTTGGCGGTGGTGGTTGAGAGTTCAGCAGTCGTAGAATCAATCACCGTTGTCTGTAACATACAAACATACACGCCGTTATTAACATTGTATAAATGGGGACATTTTTTAGTGGTGATGACTATTTCATTGGTGAAGCTGAAATGTAAAAAAAGCTGGTGTGGTATGACAAGTTGTTAGGTATATAAGTATTAGTAAATACATATTCTGTGATATAGCCTACATTTAACAGCCTACTGATATGCATAATATCTTGGGAAAAAGTACTTGGTTAACTGCATTTGTTGAGTTTTTATGTATTTATGCAATAGAGAGGTAATTTTCTATATTTTTTCATACTGAAAAGGCTTGACTTGTGGATGCTGATAAGGTTAAATGCCAAAAATATGATACCATAATTTTCCATATATAGAGGGTTTTTTTATGTAAAAGTGAGATCTTTTCAAAATTGATATTCTTCATTGCACGTACATATGTCTATATAGGAAGAAGCGATCGTGGGCAGTGGTTACCACACTGCGATGAAACACATCAATTACGGTTTGATTCCCGCTATGCATAATATCAGCGGTGAGAAATATCTTAAACGATCCTGTGCCTACCATCTTTGAACCAATCTACAATGACCAGCATGGTGAAGTAAAGCCAAAGAAAGCCCTGTGACCAACACTCTGTGGATAACTCTTCCATCCAGCAATGCGATTGACAAAGGCTTGTAAATTATTAATCATTTTTATATATGTGTATTTTGTTGCTATGTAACCCTTGTGTTGTGGGACTTTGCAATGGGATGATGTATCCGGAAATCGCGATTCATAATTCGATTTTTTTTTTGGGGGGGGAGGTTGGATCGTTGGGTATCATGTCAATTATGCACCCTCCATCACCCAGCAAAAGCCAAACAAATCGAGTTTTGTTGTGTGAAGAAACGCGCCAATCAGCTCTCTGATTTTCAGAAAACCGCTCACATTGAAAATAAGCAAGCAAAATTTGACAATTTACTTACGACGTTTCATCGGTGACTATACAACTGTACCTGAATATGCCGGTTGCAATCTCCAGTGAAACGTCGTGCATAATTGTCCCATTTTTGCTTGCTTTATTTCGAACCCAAATTACCGATTTGGTGATCAACAAAATGAATTGCGACATTTGTCCACGAGACAACTCTTTTGAGTTTGGCTGTGTCGGGGGTATGGGAGGGTGCATAGCTCGAACTTGACCTCATGCTCACACTATCCGATGCACAAAAACGAATTATGAATCGCAATATTGGTCGTGAAAGCCTCGACGTTTGAATCCATCCACAGATATCCTTCAACAGCGTGAACAGATTTACACAATTGATTTGCAATCTCCGGCAGAGCGCATACATTATGCTGTTCACGTGATGTGAGACAATTCGCGTTAAACTCACAACACGCACACATGTCCTGTAATATTACCCCTAATGAATTGAAACAGCTGCATCATTAGCATCACCACACGTTATCGATTTATACATATGTATAAAACGCTTTTACATTATAGCCACATCTCATTCATTCTCTATCGTAACATCTAAGATTATTCCAAAACATGCATTGCATGGATTTGCCGAGAGATGTAAACATGAGCGTTGGTGGTGCGATATAGCCTGAAGCGAGTGCCCCCCCAAAAAAGATGTGGGAGTCTGTACGTACCGACGACAGTCCATTCGCTGAGAGGCAAAGAGCCGCCAGGATCAGCAGAAGGAATCCCGCACCCATGTCTGCTTTGAGCTTCTAGATGATCGACTCGGTGACACGGACCGTTGTTCTTGTTCCAAGCTGGCTTCTTCGGGTAGCAGCTGCTGCGGCTGGAGAAGATTGTTCTGTAGTTGGTTACAAGAAACGTGGGGCCTTTTATAGCCAAGCGAGCTTGGATAATTAGACACTTTGGACGCTGCCTCCACCCCCGCTAACCCCTACCGCCCCACCCCTCTTATCATGAAACGGCAATTGACCTGGCCGGATAGCTAGTTAAAAATACTCGTTTCCCCCATTCTGACGATTCACGAAGATGCCAATCATTAACTTTTTTACATCCCCGTCATGCACACGCTTTGAATATCTGAATATCCTGTTGCGGAAATGTGGTCGGCTTATTCGAAGGTCTTTGTGCTCGTCGAACTTGACTGCCCATTATGTGAGGTTGATGCAGGTGGTGCGGTGGCTCAGTGGTTATGAATCCGGCAAAAAAAACTACATTTGAATGAGGGCCAAGGCTATCGTCAGTGGTAAGTGATATCTGATCTGTTTCCCCACACCCATTTCTTAATGTAGTTAGGATTTATTTTATTTTTCGTCACAGGCTTAGTCTAGTCAACGACTACCTATGGAGTTTGACTCAAGCGTGAGGATTCCATTTACCCATTATAGTCAACTAATTCCGTTGATAAATGTTGCTTTGGTCAGAGTCTTAGTTATTGGTCACGAATTATATCGGCTTAGTCGAAACAGTTGGAGGTGTCGTGTTTCCATTGCAGTTAATTTATTACTGCTCTGCAACCTCCGATTAGCACGGTTGACTACGTACGGTGCCCAAGAAGTTCAACATACACACAAACAGACATCCTCCACCCCCTCTATCCTACACCCGCCACATCCTCCTCGACCATCCCTCCTCCCCCCATCACTCTCCCCTCTTATCTCTCAATGGACTCCCTTCAGGGGCCGAAGGAGCCGGGGGGGGCGACAGAGCCGGGGGGGGGGGGCGACGGAGCCGGGGAGGGGGGGGGCGACGGAGCCGGGGGGGGGGGCGACGGAGCCGGGGAGGGGGGGGGCGACGGAGCCGGGGGGATCGTGATGGATCCCAGCTGCTGGCGGGGCCGCTTGTGGTGGGCAAGAGGCGCGAGCAGAAGGTGTCGAAACTGAACTCACATATCATACAATGCCTCACACTACCACTGACTTACATATCATACACTGACTCACTCATCATACGCTGGCTCGCACATCATACACTCACACTACCACTGACTCACACACCATACACTGGGAGTGTCATGCTGCCAGCTATGGCTGCAAGTTTGTTCGTACGTGCTATGTATTCCGTTTATTGTTAAATTTTGAATCACAGTTCCTATGATTACTGTTGTTACATTGTTTTTATATCTTTATTTTGTAGATTCTTAAACATATGATTAATCTAAATTGTCTCATGGCTGTTAATGTGGACTTGCACCACATTGTGATTTTTGCACACAGCGTTTTAAGACGTTTTTTTTAATATTTGCTGGTTTATTCCTGGATGTTTCTGTTATGCGTCGTCGCTTTAAGAGGTTCTGTGTTCATATTTTATTTGTTGCGGTTGCACCAGACTTAAGAGTCGCATGGCTCACAGGGCTATACCTAATAAATGAACTTGAAATAAAATGATCTTGAACGTGTTGAGTGTGAGGATCCTTTGCTCCACGACCCATCTGGATGGCATCGTGTTTGGCCCTTTCAGACTTTTCGAATTTTAAACAACTTTTATTGCCGCCAGCAGCAACAGCACTGGAGGCGATTCCGATATGAAACACACAAAGTCACCAGCAAACAAATAAACAACCGCTATAAATCCACGCTCTGTGGCGCTAAATGCACCGCGCACAACCCGAAAGAAAAGTCACGTGGTGGTGGTGGTCATCGCGCACTCCACGGTGATGAACGAGCGCGTCACCGACATGTGTGTGTTATGCGTGCTCCAGCCGGAGCCGCGCCTTCAGCAGGCCACTGAACACTGGAGGCACAGAGCAGCCGTCAGTGTCACCTTCCAGCATCTTTTTCCTTGTTCTGTACACCGCAATCTTCGCCTGAGCACAGGTGAAATTGGCGAGGTCATGGCGCTTGTTAGCCAGGTGAGGCACCCCATATACGAAGCTGCTGTTGTAGAAGGGCACCCCCAGTTTCCTGAAGATGTCCCCCAAAAGGCGGAACATTGGTTTGAGCCACTGGCAGCGTAAGTACTGATGGGGCAGATCCTCCCTGGCACCGCAAGAAATGCACAAGTATGTTACCCCTGGCGAGATTCGGTGAGCCACACAGCCGATGCCAACGTGTAGTGTGCCAATCTCCACTGGAGGTCACCGCAGCGTTTGGGTATAAGAGACTTTTGTTACACTGAGGGGTGGCCGCAATGAGGGGAAAGAAATGGTCTGTCCATTTTGTGTCCGGTAGGTCGGCCAGGTCCCGGGAATGCAGCGCCTTGATACAGCACGTGTAGAGCGCTGTGTTCGGGGCGCTTTTCAGAGGCTTGTTCCTGCAGCCTCGGAGCTTCAGTAGCTTGCCAGAGTTGCTGTGGCCAGGGGTCTGTGCGCAGGAGAAGCACAACTCCGGGAAGGTGAAGGAGGGGAAGGGAGGGCCGCCACCATCCCCCGGTGCCTCCAGCTTCAGTCGCAGCTCCTTCATGGCGGGGAGCACATCCCACAGCAGCTTTTCCCCAGCAAGCATGTAGCTGAGTCCCGCGGTGCTGGCAATCTCAGCTGCAGTCTTCCACTTGGGCTGGTGGGCCTGCACGAGGTGTAAGACTGTCCGCAGCCCTGCTCATGTGAGGCGTAGAGCCAGGGTCCTCTCTACTCTGATCCCCTGGAAGAGGCCGTTGTAGAACAAGGGCTCATTCAGGAACTGCGCGAGGATGTAGGGCACGCGCGTCCTGCTCCACCCGAAGCTCCGCCACACGTCGAAGAGGCTCTGGTAATAACTTGGAAGCCTCGTGTAGTCGAGCAGGCTCAGGTTCATCAGGAAGAGCTCCTTTCCGTACCCCAGGCACTCCCCACCATTCCTCTAGAGGGCGAGGGCCGGCGACTTCCAGGGTAGCTCCTCCCGGTCGTACAGCAGCCGCCTGACTGCCATGAGCCTGAAACTCATGACCCTGGCGGCGACATCCACCAGACCCCTGGCCGCCCTCGCCCACCGACAGGCAGAGAACACTCTGCCTGAGCCAGTGTTTCCCATGCCAGACAAAATGCGTGAGTGAGCGGTTGACTCTGGTGAGTAGCCAAGCACGAGGCTGGAGGGCCTTGGTCTTGCATCACAGCACGGATGCTGCCAGGTTGCTAGTGACAAGCACTCGGCCCCTGAATGGCATCTGCGGAGCGAGGCGGGACCATGTCAGTAATTTAGCCTTGATTGAGTCGGCCAGCTCGGTCCAGTTGTTCAGAGCGCCATATGGTTTCCTCAGATAAACCCCCAGGTACTTGACTCCGTCGTCCCACCAACTGACTCCTCCTTGTAGGAGCACAGAGCGAACACCACCTCGCGACCCCAAACACAGGGCCTCGCACTTGGCCCAGTTCACCCTGGCGGTGGAGGGCCTCTCGTACATTGCACCCGCCTGGCAGAGCATGGAGACGTCATGCGCGTCGTTGAGAACAATTCATATATCGTCTGCGTAAGCCTAGAGCTTGACGACCGCGTTCTCAGGTCCCAGGACTTTGAGGCCATACAGATTTCGTCTCAGGTGGCATAGCAGTGGCTCATTGGACAGGGTGTACAGCAGCCCCGAAAAGGGGGCATCCCTGTCTGACCCCGCTCGTCACAGGGAAAGGGGCGCCGAGCCGCTGGTTTATCTTCAAGAGGCTGGATATGCCCGTGTACAGGAGCCTAACGTGCGAGATGAAGGCCTATCCGAAGCCGAGCAATGTTAGGTGTTTATTCAAGTACTCGTGGCTCACCCTGTCAAAGGCCTTCTCCTGATCCAAGAAAAGGAGGCCTAAGTCCATGTTGTGCGCTTTTGCAAGGGAGATAATGTCTCTGACCGTGCCGATGTTGTCGTGTATGCACGGTCCGGGGATGCAATACGACTGTACCGGCAGGATCAGCTGAACCAGCATTGTCTTGAGACGGTTTGCCAGCACCTTGGAGAAGATTTTGTAGTCAGCACACAAGAGGGACACGGGTCACCAATTCTCGACGAGGCGCAGGTCCCCCTTCTTGGGTAGCAGGGAGACCACCGCTCTCCTGCAGCTCTGTGGAAGTTCACCCTTCTGCAGGCTCTCTGTCAACAATTGTAGTAGTGGAGGGCCAAGCTCATCCCAGAAGGCTGCATAAAACTCAACAGTCAGACCTTCAATTCCTGGGGCTTTACCAGCTGCGAGCCCTTTCACAGCAGTGTGGAGCTCCTGCTGCAGGGTGACGGGGCTGTCCAGACGATCCCGCTCAGGGACTCCTAAGGTAGGGCCCCTGTCCAGTAGCTCCTGGACAGCCTCGTCGTGTATGGTTTCGGTGGCGAAAAGTTGTGAGTAGAAATCCCTGGCGATCTTGGCGATCTCGCTCTCAGATGTTGCTGTTTGTCCATCTGGGGTTTGCAAACTGGAAATTTTCGTGGTGTTGGTCAGTGCTTTGCTTAAGCGGAAGAAAAAACTTAAAGGGAGAGTCCATTTGCGACAGGTGCTGCATCTTTTTGCACACAAAATCACGATGTGCCTGCTCGTCCGTGATGGACCTGAAAAGCCGCTGCTTCTCCAGTAGCGTCTCACCCTGCTGTGTGCCGTGGGGTGAGCTCAGCTCTGCCTCTAGCGCCAGCAGCTCGTTCTGCAGTTGGCGCGCCACCTCGTTCTTGGCGGCGGCGTGCTGGCTCATGAACTGCTGACAGAGAGCCCTGACCTGCGCCGTTGTGTTGTCCCACCATAGCTGGTGGGAGCTGAAGCTCCTTTGGCAGGCAGCCACTGAGCCCAAAAGGCTTTGAAGATTTCTCTGAAGTCGGTGTCATCAAGCAGCTGTACGTTGAGTCTCCAGTAGGCGCTGTGCCGCTCTGCTCTGGGAATTCGCAGCAGCACAGAGACCAGGTGGTGATCGGAAAAACCGGAGGGTACGATTTTACTGTTCCCGAGCAGGTTAAC